ACAGTGCAGCGAAAGTGAGTGGTGGAGTAGGTTTCTGCGTATTAGGAGCTGACACAGCAGTTGTGGGAGGAATGACTGCTAAAGTGTAACACTGAAGGCAGAGACAAAAAAAAGAAAGTAGAAAGTACTTTAGTGACCAATATTCTCTAATGATAGCCCTTATTCATGCACAAAACAAAGCAAAAAAAAAAAAAAAAACCCCATGAAAACTTCTCCATTTTCTCTCTTATTTCATATAAGGACATAGGAGTAAAATACTCCGAAGAAAGATTTCCCTTAGAGATGGCCACATATTTAATCAGGGATTTAGGGTGCATGAAGGGACAGGTCTCAGTTATATAGAAAATGTACTTAAATGGAACACTTCATTTTTAGGGATGCCAGATAATTGAGTTATACCTTAAATGTCGAACCATCTGACTAACACACATGCATACACATCTAGCTTCTATGTGTGGAAAGTGCTAAATGGTTTGAAAACTGTAATTAGATCACTAAAATTGTACCTCTTAAGTATTGCTTCATATAGTATTTCAGCGTTAAGTGCTAAAATTTAATGCAAGTAGCTGTGACTAATCTGGTCCTTATTTGTAACACAAATTAAGAGGTGTATGTTCTTGTTCATGTACTTTCTCATTAGCACTAATATTGCTAACGGGAGTGACAAATGTATTGTTTTTGCCTTCTATCACTCACGCCTTTTAGATAACTAGTTCCTTAGAGGAGGTCATTTTTCCTGTGATACATTTACAGAGCTTTGTATTTAACGGTTTTACTCAAAAGAGAGTGTCCATAGGGACTGTTTATTACTTGATGGGCTCTGGGGAAAAGAAATTTAGATTAACCAATTTGAATCATAAAAGAAATTATGATGGAAATTAGTGTTAATAGGGATATCACATACTCATTTGTTCCTGTGTGTCTTTCAAACGTTTTTTTTCCCTAGTTTTTTGTGAGAGTGGAAAGCTCTTTGCCCATTTCTGACTTTGCTTTTTTGTACTCTTGTTGCCATTTGACACTTAGAGACAATATTATAAGGAGTAATTTGTTTAATTAGGACTATAGAGTTCCTATGTGATTTAGTTCACATGTGTAGTGAATTAAATAAGAACTTGCCTAGTCTGGTTGGGACTTGACCATTCTTTCTTTGAGATAACAAATTGATTTCTAAAATCAAATTCTAAATGACATTTGCAACTATGGAATTCCTAGTTGTATGCACTTTATATTTCTGTCTCTTGAGGAAGATGTGTATACTTGAGGAAGCCATTTAATTTTTAAGAGTGTTAGTGTTCCCTGAGTTAAATGGAAAATGATATGTATGGTATAATACATATTTAACAAAGTAATTATGAATGTTATAAAATTACCTTGTAAATTCTTTGACAGGGTTGTGAATGAAAGATACAATTATTTCATGTTTAATAATTGGGAAAATAAAACAATAGTTGGGACTGACAAGTTTCATAAATTTCCTTAAATTCTTGAAGATGTTTGCTGGGATTTTTCATTTCTGCCATTTTATGGAACAACTGATGTGTTTTTTTTTTAAAGTAATACAGGTTTTTAATGAATTAATTTTCTTAACAACAATATGTTTTTAAGTATAACATCTTGCAGGAATGAGGTAGTTTGAAAAGGCAATGTCCTTTAACGAATGAAAGATCAGTCAGTCTCTTTGTCCAATAGTGCAGAAATACCAGCCACCATATTAAATCTTAATCAGTAACAGTGTTTCACTAATTAGAAGAGGTGGTTTTTATATTGGCTAAATTGCTATTTGTAAATGCTGGATTATATTAACTAACGATTAATTATCAGCAACAAATAAGTATAAGGTTTCTTAAAAGCTTCCATCAGTACCTTGAAGTAGGCACTACTGCCTAATATTTCAGTCTGTGTGGAAAGGCAGGTAATGAAATTATGAATATACTTAGAATTCAGGGCAATTTCTTCTCAAATGCATGTATTATTACTTTACCATGAGTGTATGAAATATGATTTATTTAATGCATTTTAGCCCCCTAATATTAAGATATAATTGAGATGTGAGGTAAAAAAATTGCATGTAGTCAGAATGGCACATGAATCATAGACTAAATTGCTTGTAATTTTAAAGGCACTTAGGGGAATTGTGAAATTTATATAATGCATTTTTATGTTTGGAAAAGGTTGGAAGAACAATAGTCCAGTTATTTTAACATTTCAGTCCTAAAAATAGGACTTTTGTGAGTTTTTATTAAACCTCAGATACCCATGCACATGAACAAATTCAAATCTTTACAGGTCCCCTTCTCATGAACTACTTTTTGAACATTTTCCCCTTTAAAGCTTGTATATTTATCAAAGTAGTTTAGTAGACTATAATTCTTATAAAGGCCATAATCTAGTTTTTACAAACCACACAACTGGGTGAATGACAACAACATAAATGTTGCCAGCATGTTTAGAAGGGAATCAGTTAAATGGTACTTGGAATTTTGATGATTATTGCTTTGAAAAGACTGAAAATCACAGGTCTTGGCTTTATAGTTTAATTACTTGCTTAACAATTGCTGGTGATTCACTAAATCACAAGGCTTCTAAACAAATAACATCAGTAACTCTGTCATGCCTGAGCAACTCCAATTTTCTTGACAATGGCTACCAAACTGTGTTTAGCCTAATATAAACTGTTAGTTTAACAGCAAGCAATAGGAGCTTCAAGCATGCCATTGATGAGGTACCAGTAAATTGAGCGCTTTTAGCACTGGTGACACTTATGTCAAGAATTACTTCAGCATGTTTCATCAAGACCAGTTGGAGAGGCAAATATAGTAATTATCTACATCCTTTTTTTGATATTGGATTTGGTAATGAGTGCTGTCCAGCTTTCCAGGGTTTCTAATTAATAATTGGTTCTTAAGGACACAGTATGTGGTTCCCCACAGTTTGAATAAGATTAGAAAGTAGGGTAAACCAAGGTCCTATGTACTTTCATGGGCCAAATTGAAAAGGCATTTTAAAAGAAGAGCGAGTTGTAGGCAGAGACTCAGGTGTGCTGGTGTGAAGACTTAATTTGTGCCTTTATTGACCTGTGCTCTTCTTCCTTGCTGCGTCTGAGCTTTGTGGCGTTCTGGGTACGCTGCTCTCCTATCTTGCCCTTTTACAATGGCAAGCTTTTTGTTCAAATGAATTCTTCCAGTTCTCTACAGTTTTTACTCATGTAGTAGCCACAATCTTGTGCTCCTGAGAAAATTAACTTATCTCATGTTCTTTAGTATCTTGCTGTTGAAATACCTGTGTCCACAACTTTGGTTTGTTTTAGGAGTTTTTAACTATGTAGTGGTGAGAAAGCAATACCATTTAATAGAAATTGCTTTACCTGGTAAGTTTTGATCTTTTCTTGGATTAGAGAGATGTGATATGATACTGTATCACAATGCTTCGAGTGATGCTGAACCCGCCCCCCCCGTCCCATGTCACCTCACGATTTTGAGGAAATGCTGAATATAGTATGCTGTGTTGCTAAGCTAAGATGTTCGATAGAGTGGATGTATTAAATGCATTTTTGTCTCAGGGTATTTTCAACTTTGTCAGAACGTAACCCCATCAAAGTCACAACGCTTTTGTAAGGAAAAAAAGACCCACATTGGATGTGGGATAATAAATTGGGTGTGGTGGCACATGCCTGTAATCCTAGCACTCCAGGTGGCTGAGGCAGGAAGATTGCAAGTTGGAGCTCAGCTTGCAGAACTTGATGACTTAGCAACAAGACAAAGCAACATAAAACAAGGGCTGGAGATGGATTTGGTGGGTTTCAGTCCCAATTCTCTCTCTCTCTCTCTCTCTCTCTCTCTCTCTCTCTCTCTCTCTCTGTCACACACACACACACACACACACACACACACACACCGAGAGAGAGAGAGAGAGAGAGAGAGAGAGAGAGAGAGAGAGACAGACAGACAGACTGACAGACATATGGCTAGTAATTCCTAGTTTGGGTACCTTCTTGCTTACTGATGCCAGGCATTATCCTAAGAACTCAGCATACATTTTACTAAGTTCTTACAGCTTGAGGCAGTAATTTTATTGTCCCTATGAAAGGAATGACTGAGGCTTAGAGTAGTTATGCGATTAATCTGAAGTAACCAGTGAGTTTGGCTCCAAACTCAATCTCTGGACTGCCATACCATCTTAGTTCCTTAGTATGAATATGTTCTTTTGGTATAATTATGAACATTGCCTATTTATTGTGCACTATGTGAAGGGTGATCCTTCTTGATGTAGATATTTGCAGAATTTAAAAATTGTGGCTTACAATAGTATATTTTTATCATGGTCTAGGATATTCATACATATATTCATATATAAGAAATTATACTATTTGTGATTTATTCTGCCTTCTTATGTTTTTTATTTTATTCTGTTTTTAATTCTACATATGCTGGTTGTTACTCATTAAAATTACTTCACAGTCTACTACTAGGTAGCAACCTATAGTTTGAAAATGAGAGAATCAGTGCTGGCCTTGTGGAGTTCCTACTGGTCAGTGAAATCGCTGTTCCCCTGGATTTACTCGTGCTCGTATGCTGCCTCAGGTACTTGCACTTCTAATTTTGTTAGTTTTCTAATTTTGTGAGACCTTGAGTAGTTTTGCCAATAGGCATATATGAGTGATTGAATTCTGAGGATGGATTAATGCATTTCCTGAGGCTGTGAGAATTTCGTCTCTACCATTTCATCATGATCCTTTGGGGGTCTGATAGAGTTCAGATTATATGGTTATATTCAGAACTTGGCTTTCCAGAGGCTGCCTTCTTTTCTTTCTGATGTTCTTCTATGCCAGACAGGTTCATTACAGCAATTGAAGGAAACTAATACAGCAAAATAGTCTTTTTCCCCTTAGCACTTTTCCATTCGTTTCATGTTATACAGGACAGAGTATAGCAGATGTGTTTTAAATTGCAATTGCAAAGATGAGTGGTAGACCCATCTTTTCATCTTGTACTCTTTTCCAGGCAGACCTACTTAAGTATTGTCCAGAAGACTCATGGAAGGCCATTGCCCTACTTACCTTTGCCCTAAATGAACTGGTAGCATATACACTGGTATGTCTCAGTTCATGAATTTACTTTGTTCCATGATTCTGGGGAAAGTGGTCTAATTTTTGCTCGTGCAAAAAAGGTGGACACAGTTGTGTTCATCATCCAAAATGATTCTGCAGACAAAACCAAAGTTTTACCAAATGCTTCTGTTTGCAAGCCAAATCCTTAACAAACAAAAGCATTTATGACATAACAGTACCTTTATGTCATGGACTTGTGATTTATCAAGTTCCTCTTTGAATCAACAACATTCATAAAGTGACTCTGCAAGACCCTGTTACAACCTCCAAAGTTATGGTATGAAATGAGGTACAGGATATTGTAGTGGGGGAAAACAGACGATAAGTAAGAAAGAAAATAGATATATGAATATATATTTAGTTTTAGAAAGTGGTAAGTGTATGGGGAACAGTAATATGGGTAAGATGGTAGAATTGTGGACTATATTGTTTCTCTACTTATTCACGCCTCACCCCTTGGAGTAATTTCTCTAGGGCATCTGAATCCTCCCAGGAGATCCTGAATGTTAAATCCCAAGACCATGAAAATATTTTTTATTTGTGTCAGTCCCATAACTCTGTGGGAGAATGCTTCAAAGAATAGAACCATTTTGGAGCAGTGGCATTGGCAACACTTGGAGACTTCCCAGTTGTGGACTGATTCTCCAGCCCAGATTGGACTTAAAGATGAATTTGCATTTTACCGTGATCTTTTTATATGACTCTTTGAGCAAATTGAAGTTTAAAAGTACAAGTTGAATCTCTTATCTGAAAAACTTAGAAACAGCAGTATTTCAGACTTCAGAGTTTTTGGATTTTGGAGTATGTGCATAGACTTTATTCTTACCAGAACATTTCATGTTTTCTATTTTCAGATTAGGGATGTTTGACCTGTGCCATTCTGTAGTAGCAGTTTTTAACCTTGGCTGCTATAAAGAAATAGATTTGGGTACTACTAGGGTTTGAATATGTTCCCTTTGTGTTCCTCAAAGTCCCATGATTTAAAGTGAGGTCTCTAGGGTGACACTATTGGAGAGCACTGGAACCTTTAGAATATAGGACCTAGCGTGAATCTTTGTCATTGGGAGTGTGCTCTTGAAGAAGATTGTGAAGCTTTGGTCTTTTTGTCTTCCTGTCTTTTGGTACCTGGTTCATGAGATAATAGTTTTTTTCTCACCAGGTGTTCTTGCCATGATGTACTACCTTATTAAAGACCTAGAGCAATAAAGCCACTTGGTCTTTGGATCCCTCAAAACCATGAACCAAAATAAACCATATCTCTTTATAAACTGCCTCAAGTACTTCATTGCAGTAATAGAAAGTTGACTGATAGAGAAACAATTAGTCATTCCCAGTAAAATGACATTTAGCCTGATCTTTTAATCTGCAGGATGGAAATAATTAAGTATCCCAGGAAACTCACTTCTGCTATTCCTAGAAGTTCATGCAAAGGCAGATTGTTCTTTCCATTTGATATTCCCTTTCTTTAGCCTAACATAAGCCACCTGAAATTAGTTCTCCTTCAGCATGATTCAGAAACCCTGTTGTCACTTCCAGTTGTAGAGGTATGTTCCTAGTGTAGTGTCTTTGTCTGCTTAGACAGAGGGCCTGTTTACTAATGGACCCCTTTGCCTAGGGACTTTGTCCAGCTATCCTATGTTGAGCAATAACCCTCTCTCTTACTTGCTCCGCTGGGCCCAGGACCTTTCCACCAGGTGTGGGCCAGGTCTGACTAAGGATCTTTAAAGGAAGTGTTGATTCTTAGACATCATTCTCAGTTAGTGAACTAGGCGTCCCTGTAAGTCAGGACCTAGGCTATCATATGGTTCAGAGCTCCCCAGATGATTATTCCAAAGTGCAACCAAGATGGAGATGTCTGTTCTAGGGGCAATATATCCTTTACGTAGAATGTTTTAGAAACTTGTTGTGATAGCCAAGTGTGGTGGCTCATATGTCTGTAATCTCAGCATTTGGGAGGCTGAGACAGGAGGATCACTATGAGTATAAGGCCAGTCTGAGCTACATACTGAGTTCAACACCAGCCTGAACTATATAGCAAGACCCTGTCTCAAAAAAACAAAAAAAAAGGAGAATAAAATGATTATTTGTATTGTAAAATCTGACTGATGTTACAATTATACATTTATTATTAAAATACATACTTGTCATGCATGTATGGGATGCTCAGTGGTGTACCATTAGAAATTGCACTGTCCCTTTCTTACAACACAAGGGTGGAACTGAGGGTAGCACATGTACTGATGGTACCAGAGTTAAATCTGAGTCACCACAGTGAGATTAACAGCAAGTCTTGTGAAAAATAAGTCCTTTTTTTTGGGTCTTTTTCCTTTTTATCGGTACCGGGGATCGAACTCACGACTGCCTGCTTGCAAGGCAGGTGCTTATGCCGCTGAGCTAAATCCCCAGCCCCTGAAAAATAAGTCTTAACAAAGGTGACTCTGGGATAAAAGAATAATGACATTTTTGCATTTGAAAAGTAACGGTTTGCTTTAATGTTTAAGACATTTTTGTCTGTTGTTTTCATCTACTCAGACCAGAATCTGCTTGCTAGATTTATGGAATGTGTAATGATTTACATTCAAATCAGAAAGTAGTCCTCAACTTCCATATTCTGGAAGGTTTCTTTGTCATCTTTGCTTTGGCCTTTAGCTTTTTGAGGTGAGCTACAAAATCTAAATGGAATTAAGAGAAGGATTTTTAGTCAGGAAAATGATTAGATGAAAGAACTGCAGAAGAAGGATTTTAAAGCTACAAAATCTAAATGGAATTAAGAGAAGGATTTTTAGTCAGGAAAATGATTAGATGAAAGAACTGCAGAAGAAGGATTTTAAGACCCTTAGATTTTACAAAGTTTGATAATCCTGGACTATGAGTCATAGTTTGGAAGAGGAATGCAGGTGGAAAAATAGAAAGGAGGTCCCTAAAATGTTACAGGATGTAAAAATGAGAAAATTTAACAGAAAAGACTTGTGCACTAATAATGAGCCTGATTTGAAATCTCAGCCCTTCAGCACTTTGATATGTGTCTGCCTTTGACGTTAGGGCCCTGTGTGAGTCGGCTTAACTTGTGAATTCTGAGCAAAAGGGAACAGTTGGAGCTTCAGCGCTGCTGTGTGCCTGGGATTGGCTCCCTGAGTTGCGAAGGCCAATGAGCAGTGCCTTTCCAGGGCAGAGACCTGGGAAGCGCCTTGCTTTTGTCTTTGTCTTTGTCTTAATGTCTGCATGTCTTTGACAAATGAACAATAAAATGTGCTGTTTGATTCCAGACTGTCTTGCTTCTTTTCTGTGTCCCCCCTGCAATCCTCCTTTTTCATGTCATGTTACATGAGGTGCTTTCACCTCTCTATCCTGACCCTGAGCTCCAGTGTTCGCAGGTCCTGCTCACCCAGGATGTGCTCTAATTGGCAAAACTGTAACGTGGTAGCTGTGGTTCTCTATTGCGGTTTCCTAATTGGTGTCAGGGGCTGTTGGCAGAGCCTGGCCATGGTGGATTGATTGATAGATGGGCTGCTGTGACTGCCAGGCTTCTGTCTGACCAGTAGGTTTATTGCTTTTGAAAATAAAAATTAAAATGTTAAATATGTCCTCCAGTGTCCTTGGTGGGCCTAAAATAAAGTCAGCTATTCATCATTAAGGAGCATATTCGGTGTTACCTAAGGTCTCTTGGGTTTGCAACTTAAATTTTTGTTCTATTTCTAACTCACAGCTGGCTGTTTTCTTGCTTTCATGATGCAGTGTAAAGCTGCATTATATTTCACACTGCCTGCTGCACAGTGGGTTTCTTCTTTTCAGAAATAATGCAGACATGGTAGTAAATGTGCATGTTGGAGGTGGGAGGGTGGGGACAATGTTGAAGATACTCTTCATCAGAACTTGGAGTTTACAAGCTTATTTCCACTGGTCAGTGAGAATATAGATACGTTAATAGTGAAGTACAAGATTAAAAATGATACAAGTTCTTTTTCAAAGCCTATTTCATGTAATTGACATTTATGTTGAAGGTATAACAGCTTTGAGGCCTATGAGTGTAGGATAATGACCAGTTTACTCAGATTAATGCCTGAAGTTACAGAAGGCTGCAAAGAACTGCATTTTAAAATCTAGTTTTAATACTTTGATTAGCAGTTTATAGTCCATATAATAAAACAATGCAGTGACTTTAAGGAGTGAACAAACCTCTTTGATGTTTTGTCTCTTCTAGTTTCTGTAGCAAAGTGCTTAATCTTTTATAGCAGCATTTCTTTTGCGGAAAGATAAGTTTTTGTCAATCTTTATCAATCAACATTGTATAAAAATTATGATAATACTATTTGTTTTTGTTTTGCAAAGAACTTTCACATATATTGTTGCATGTAGTTCTTTGAAACCGCAAAGTTAAGAATTATTATTTTATACTTTATTGATGAGCATCAAAAAATTGAATAGCTTCGTGGAAATCACTTATGACGTATATATGACTGTTGTGACTTGAATCAATAGTGTTTGCCACCATAGTGTGCTGCCCTCTATGTAGTGAGTGTTGAATTACTGCCTTTTCTGCCAGTTTGAACCACTCTTGGTACGTGTGTGACTGTCCTGTCTGACAGCATGGCACAGTGATACAAACTGCCTGATTGACAGTCATGGATATATATCCCTCTCATGAATGTGTTAAAGGTACTGAGAATTGAACTCAGGGCGTTTGCACTGACTACAGCCAGCCTCTCTCACTCCCTTTTTTGGGACAAGGTCTCTCTAAGTTACCCACACTGAATCTGAATTTATAGTCTTCCTGTTCCAGCCTCCCGAGTGCTAAGATTATAGACAAGCATCACCATGCCTACTGTGTAAGTACTTTCATCTGACCGGGGTGACTCATATTCTCTTACTTGATAAATTTCTATGCAGAAGATTGACATAGGCACACACAGAAACACAAAGCACTGAAGGCCTAGTGAGTCATTCATGCTTTTCATAAAAGTTTGGACCACGGGAGTGAATTGA